AACTGTAATGTGTGGTGGTGTTATGTTAACTACATGAACAAATGTTATCAAATGTAAACAATGAGTCTCTCAGTGGAAACTTCAACCATCATGAATTTACTGATTGAGAAAGAACCGGTATGTTTAGGGGCTTCCCTGGGTGTACACAGCTCCCTGCCCTTCATCATGGAATTCATAATGGGTAACTTGCTTTCTGTTAAGACACTTGGTTTTCTGGGTTTTTGTTTTGTTTTGTTTTGTTTTTATTTTTTATTAATATAATTTATTACAATTTATTTAATTTGTGTTTCGGCTGTGTCCCCCTCCCTTCTCTCCTCCCAATCTTACCCTCCCTCCCTCTTCTCCTGCTATGACCCTCCCCTAGCCTACTGATAGGAGAGGTCCTCCTCCCTTTCTATCTGATCCTAGCCTATCAGGTCTCAGCAGCACTGGTTGCATTGTCTTCCTTTGTGGCCTGGCAGAGCTGCAACCCCCAGGGGGAGATGGTCAGAGAGCCAGCCACTGTTCTCCTTATTAGAGAACCCACTTGGAGAATGAGTCTATTGGCTACATCTGAGCTGGGGTTTTAGCTCCTCCTTATGCATTGTCCTTGGTTGGGGTATCAGTCTCTGCAGAGCTCAGTTTGGTTTTTTGTTTGTTAGTTTGTTTGTTTGTTTGTTTGTTTGTTTGGTTTTTTTGTTGTTGTTGTTGTTGTTTTCTCTATTGGTCTCCTTTTGGAGCTCCTGTCCCCTCAGATATTAGACATATAATATAAGATAAATGTACTAAAATCTATAGTCCTGAAGAAGCTAAACAACAAGGAAGACCCTAGGGAAGATGCTCAATCTTCATTCAGAAGGACATAGGCAATAGACGTTGGAAGCAGGAGAGGACAGGGAACAGGACAGGAGCCTACCACAGATGGCCTCTGAAAGACTGTACTGATTGAGGTATCAGAGCAGAGGCTGAGACTCACAGATAAACTTTGGGCAGAGTGCAGGTAATCTTATGAAAGAAGGGGGAGATAGAAAGATTGCCTGGTTTTTGTACTGTTCCAGGGAGCAGGAGAATGTAATTCTGACCTGCCTAGCATGCGTGAGATCCTACATTCATCTTTAGGACCAACAGCCAAATCAAACTAACATACTGTTTAGAATTTCCAGTCCATAATCTTTACATCATTTTTCATCTATGTTAGTCAGCTTCCTGCTGGTGCTGCTTATGTTTGAGGTAACTATAAGACAGGAAGTTGACCTGTAAGCCCTACCTACGGAAGGACCAGGTAACTTCCTGGAATGTTGGGAGTTGTAATTCCTGGAAAACAGCAATGCTACATGGGAAAATATGGTGGCCATTGGGCGTGTTGTTACAGGCCCCTGTAACATGTGTCTCGGGCCATTCAGCGGGGAATTGCAGGGACTGGTCCTGACCAAAGCCCATCCTGGTCAGTGTTTAATTAAAAGCTTGCTTCAGATTTGGCTCAAAATTATGGAACTGGTTTTTCTCCAGCAAACCTCAGGGTTAGCAGTCACATAGAGAGGGAATATTTACTTTGGCTACTTCAGAGGTTCCAGGTGGTGGCCACTGAGCTCTGTTGTTTCTGGGCCTGTAGAAAAACACAGTGTCATGGTGGGGACAGGACACAGTGGAACAGGCTGGTCACCTCATGGCAGCCAGGACTAAGAGAGGAAGAGACACGAGGTCAGGACAAACTATGCCCTTCAGTGACCACTTTCTTCTGACTAGGTCTTGCCTCGAAAACATGCCAATATCCCACTGAACTGCAGATTCCTAAGTAGGCTAAACCAGTCACTCCCCAAAGCTGCCTCCTGTGAAAACTGGTGCTTTGGGGCAACAATCCAAGCCATCAAGCCACCCGGTCAAATGTTACCAAATTTGATAACTGTTTCTAAAAAGAAATTGTAGGCATAATCTATGATATTTTAAGTATAAACCTGGAATTATACGTTAGTCCATGTCTTGCTTATCTGAGCAAAGATTAAAATGAGAGTGAAATTTTGATAATAAACTTTGTTTTTACAGGGAGTGGGCATGGAAGGGGGAAGGGGACAGCACAGAGACTGAGAAGGGTTACCATCACAGATTCCCTGTCTTTTCTTCTGGTTTGGTGCACACATAGGCGGCTCTCCTGCCTGAGCCCTGCCATCCTCAACGTCTGTCAAATTTCTCTTCACTGTAACCATTTTCATTTTCACTGTAGCTCATGCAAATAAGCTGATCCTACTTTGCATAAGCACATTGATTTATATGAATGCTATTTTGATCTCAAATTGATTGAATACTGAAAAGGAAGTCTAGGGAAGAAAGAGCAGTGTGTTATGAAGGTCTCTTGTCAAAGACAAGAGAGAATGCTAACTCCTACATACATTGCCTGCTAGGACAGGAATTCTATATTGTCTGTATTTTAGAAGATAATATTCCCAAATACACCAAAACCCATACACCAAGGCACACTAGTTTTCAAATATAATGTACTGAGGACCAGAAAGACATCCTGAGTTTGCTTCCCAGCACCCACACGGGGCAGCTCAGAACCACTCCAGCTCCCGGGATGTTGATGCCCTCTTCTGGCCTCCTCAGGAAGCTACAGTCATGAGCACAAAACTACACACTGACGAACAAACACTCAAAACTAAGAAGACTAAAATTATTAGATTACATCACATCCTGAAAATAAGACTCCACCTGGTCAAAGCCTGTAGCACAGGAAGGCATGAAGTGGAAGGGGGCTATTTAGAGGACGGCAGGAGCCCAGCAGGAAGACAGGAGGGCAGGGAAGTGCAGTGGGTAGAGAAGCCCAGATGAAAACAATAACATTTATGTATGAAAATGCCATGAGACACCCCACTTGTGTTCTCACTTTAATATTTCATATTAAAAAGAGAGAGAGAAGATAGTGCCCTCCGCCCCCATCTAGGCTCTGCCTGCCCTGTACTTGCTGTAATGGCCTTTCCCTGAGCCTCTCTCCCCAGCCTCCCACCTGCATGGCTGCTGTCTCTAGGAGCACTCAGCAGTTATTTGCTGGATTTGTCTGCTATCAAACCTCCCTCTACAGGCTTCCTTCTTGTGACCCTGATTAAGATCAGCATGCCAAAAAAAAAAAAAAAAAAAAAAAAAAAAAAAAAAAAAGATCAGTATGCCCTTAAATTGCCAAGAGCCTATTTCTTCCAGGGAATCCGATTCTGACCTTCGTACTCTGCCGTTACGTCTTTTCTGGAATATTGTCTTTCAAATCTTGTCACTCATCTGCTGGGAAAGTCCTCTCCATCCCATCCTGGAAGGGTGAAGTTAAAGTGGCTGGTCCCCCGCACGCTGAGCCAGACACCTTCCCTCCTGGGGCCCGACATCTGCTCTCTTCATCAATAGCCTAGCATTCTACCCCAGTGTCGTCTGACCTTGGCCTTTTCAGAGGGCACAGGGGCAGCTTGCATGGCACTCTGACCGGGACCCTAACTAGCAGTAGCTATCCTGGAGACAGTGTCCTGTTCCTCTCTCCCCAGCCCAGCACAGGGAACCTGCCCAGCTGAGACTATTCACTCAGCGGGTCTCCCACCCTCGCAAGTGAAGGCACCTGATCTAATCCAGACTTTCAGACCCTTGCAGTGTCCAAAGCCTGGTTTACAGGAAAGAGCAGTTTTAGCCCTGGCCCACAAACCCGTACATAGTACACATACACACAAAATCAAATATTTCAGGCTGCTTTGACACCGGGAGAAGAGTGTACAAACGTGGCCAGTTACATGCAAGTCCGGAGAGAGAGGTGGGAATCGGGGAGCACACTCTTTAAAGAGTTGGCTTCACTGGGAGGCAGGTTGGTTGTCTCCTTTGAGAAGAGAGCTGCTGGCAAGCCTGTCAGCCAGGAGCTGGAGGTTTACGTTTGACAGCAGCTCAACCACAGACATTTGCGTTCACAAAGGCACCTGCCCCCAAAAGAAGCGCAAACACTGATCGGACTCTACCTCCCTGTTAAGACTCTGTTGAGGTGTTTCTTCTCTGGAAGGTGTGCTCAAGAAGAAAACGAGATGAAAGCAGGTTGTGTTTTTTTTTTTTCCTACATAGCTTATTTTTAAACGTCCTGCATGACTTCCAGTTGTACATACAAACTCAAGCAAGCTTTCCATGCTTTTTAAAAGGCCATGACAATTTATTTTTTTAATAAACAGAGTAAAAGACAACTAATGAAAAAAATAAAACAAAAAAGAAAAACCTCCCAAAGTTAGCATTGCACCTGCCAGCGTAGTGAGGAACAGTGTTCATGAGAGACGGTCTTCTCCTGTTGCCATTTCCATCTATCATTCTGATTGATCACTGTGTGCTCCGCTGCCATCGGCTCTAATTTAACCCTATATGCTCGCACATCCATCCACTAGGTCTATTGTACCTGACATTCTACAAATTACTTACTCATGCAAATGGCGACCCAAGGCGACCTTTTAGGATATTCGTGTTTAATTATACAAATGGTTCTTGATAAATAAGATTACACCTCTCCCCATATGTTTATCCCTTCCTTGATGAAAGGAAATTTGATTTTCATGCAGATTTAATGGAGACAGTGTTTAAGAATTGCTGAGTTTTATGGAGTATAGAAATCCACGCAGTCTGAAGGAACTGATAAAAACAAAGCAAAACAAAAAGACCGAAACACCACTCCACTGCCCCGCTGAGGCAGAGAGGAGCATTTCAGTCAGCTACAATCTACCTGTGGAATTACTGGAACCCTGGGGAGCTCCCTTCTTGTTCTGTGACCCTTTGTCATGACAAACGTGCAAGATCTAAATTCATCCTACTATATTGTCTATTGCTGGTTTGGATGGTTTATTTATCCATTTTTACTTTTTACCAAGACATGCTCTTGCACTATAGCCCTGGCTGGTCTGGAACTCATTGTATAGACCAAACTGGCCTTGAACTCAAGAAATTGGTCTGCCTCACACTGATATCCTTCTCCAGGGTGAGGGCACCTGATATCTGACTGGTCTTGTTGATTCTTTTTTGAGGTATGGGCAGTAAATTCCGCAGGAAAAGCTCCAAGTAACTGGACACGGTGCAGAACTGGACCTGCGCCACCAGAAGGTCTCAGGGCACCCACATTCCATACCATATCCTCCACCCAAGCGGTGGTCAACATCAGTGCACCTGCGAGACCCAATGGGAACATCAGCCTCTACAGGATCTTCTCCAGCTCCAGCGGGACGTACACCCTGGTGAGCACACAGCTCTGAGAGCCAGCACACAGCGCGGCTCTTCCGAAAAGGTGCTCTGGTTCTTTGTCCCCTCCATCATTTCCTGTGAGTCTGCTCCAACCTACCCTCTGATAAGCAGAAGGTCCTTCTGAGAGACTGAGCCTGTAGGAAACAGAAAACACCTGAACCTGGATAAGTGCTGGGGATGTTACTGAAGATTCCAGAGATGTAAGAAACCAAAGATAGTACACATAGGCAAGTTAACTCAGAAAACTAGAGGCCAGGTGCTTGAAGGCTGGCAGCACGTATACACAAAGAGGTTGATGAAGTGAATGTTAATATAAAAAAGCAAAGTGAAGCAAAGACTGTTCTGGGAACTCCGACTTCAATACACACAGATCTCTAATGAAAGGAAAATCCAGACCCTGTCGGTAAATTCTAGAAAGCACTATCTTCTCAGAAGAGGCAGAGCCAGGGAGCACAGGTCTGTCTCCGCTGCTGCTCCTAACACACTGGAGGGAAGTCAGGAGATAGAGCTGAGTATGGGAGGGTCTCAGACGCATCTATAACCTGTTGCTGAGAGGAAGGCCACACTAGAAACAAAGAAAGAGATCACCGTTGCAAGGTGCACACTGCCAAGGCACAGGCAGCTTGGCAAGGTGATGGTTTTTGTAAAAAGGACGTGGCAAGACTCAAACCCAGCCACCAAGCACACCGAGACAGTGCAAGAGGTTCACCTGGTGTTTATTCTGATGTGGGTGGCGGCTTGGACTTTTTCCCTTGGCTGGGGTCTCACCTAACAGTCTTTTGAGATTGACTAGTTTTAAAGGAAATGAAGGGAAACTAGAAGGGGGATGTGTTGATTAAAACACTTAAATTCAGAGAATGAGGGATAGGAAATAAAAGTTTTTCTGGCTGGAGCCATTAAAACAGTTGCATAAGGTGTTACAAGGTGAGGGAGATAAAAAATATTTTAGTGTCTTGTCATAAACAAGAGTTTTTCAGTGTTTGACAGAAAAGACTAATACTTAATGTTCCTTATAGCTCCCCTGCTAGGCCAGTGCCCGCACTGTCTTTGTTTTCACTGACAGCTGCCCAGTCTCTAGTCTTTTGCCTCTGTGGTGTGGCTTTGGCCTCTCCCATGTGGCTCATGAGTATGTGGAGATTATAATACGCTGTTCACATAAGCTTATAAAGAAATTGTTCAGATCCCAGTATTACATTATGAATTATTTAGACTAATTTAGGGAATGATTTGGGCAAGTGTGAAGAAATCCTCTGAGGCCAACATGCCTGGTGTGGAAACACAATTTCCAAAGACCCACATACAGGCAAGGCTCCTAGTGAATGCTAAAGGAGTATTAGCATATTTTCTACAGGGTTTCGTATTCAATAAATATAGATGATGTAAATACAATCAGCCCTTGATTATCCATGCTTATAAAATTATAATATTAATAAACCCAAATAATTTCTATTTGGAGTGCACTGTATGCATTTTTAAAAAAATAGCAGGTAGCTCCTTAATTATGTTACTTATGTCGATGTGGAAGTTAATTTCCAGCTTCTAAGCACTCCTTTTCCCAATGAGGTCAAAAGTTTTCTTCAGACAAATCGGAAGTTAGTATTCCCTCAAAGACAAGCAGCTTTGCAAAACCAGCACTGAGGGAAGTGGGCTTGCAAATGTTAAATATTTGCACTCGCCTCTGATAGGGGTCCCAGGGCATTTTGGATGCATAAGTTCTGTGCAAGTTATTGTAGTAGAATGTGAATTTTAGTGGTAAAATGATAATTCAAACACAGATTATCATTTTTCTGTTTCATTTTATTGTAAAGGAACCCTTTTGAAAATCATTGACTCCAACCCATATTTTTGTGTATTTGGCCCCATTTTTCTAGTACATTCCTGAGGTTAGGTAAGGAAGGATGTCCTGTCTTGCCAGTCCTTCCTGTTATCTGCAACGTTTACTGAACTCTTCCATTGTAGACACCCCTCCGTCTAGAGTGACCATTCCAAGAGTTAACATACATCTGAGTTAACATACATACAGTCTCTCATTCCTTCTCCCAGAGTGTCTAGCATGAGGCTCCATTCATGGCAGGAGGCAGACCGTCTCTGACACGCAGCATCTCACGTGGCCCTCTTCCCTGCAGCTGTCTGAAGGCATGGCCACCCAGCAGACCCTTCACGACCTGAGGCCCTTCTCCACATACACCATTGGGGTTGAGGCCTGCACCTGTTTGGCCTGCTGCAGCAGAGGACCCACAGCCGAGCTGAGAACTCACCCGGCCCCACCTTCAGGGCTGTATCCGCCCCAGCTCCAGACCCTGGGCTCACGGGTGGCCTCCTTCCAGTGGACACCCCCTCTGCTCCCTAATGGTATCATTCACAGGTAGGTGTCAGTGGGACAGATGAATAAACCCAAAGAAGATGGGTTCAATGCATATGTGCCACCCTGGGTGCCCAAGGGGTTATAAAATAGTTGTATACGGGGGAGGGGAAAGCATTCATTTGAGCAGCTTTGTTACTTAAAAAGTGTTTAAGCCATGAACCAACTGAGAGAACAATGAACAACAAATGCATCTTGAAATAAGAGAGACAGTGCCTTGTATTTGCATTTACTCAAAGAAGATACTGCCCTGTGGTTCTCTGGACCAAATGCACTCTGCTGGCCTCAGCCCCTCAGCTAGAGCAAAAGAAATCTCTGTGGTTAGCTGGGAACCGCCCCGACCTAAGTTAAAATGTCAGGAGGGGATGCTGTCACAAAGAACAACCACAACAAAAAGTCTTCATTCAGAAAAATGTGAGGAAAGCGAATTTTCTTTATTCCAAGTAAAAGGCAATAATGAATGCCTGTCAAGAGATGTAATGTTTATTAATGAAAATTATTCCTCATGGGGCTGGAGAAATGGTTCACTTGGGAGAGTGCTTGCCACCCAAGCATGGGAACCATGTTCAATCCCTAGACCCACACAAGAAGCTAGCTGTGGTAGCACACACCTAAGACATCCCAGCCCTGACACGGCAGAGGAAGGCAGAGCCCTGAGGCTCCTGGGCAGCCAGCCCATCTGACTTGGCCAACTCCAGGCCAGTGGGAGATGCTGTCTCAAAAAATAAAGCAGAGATGTGGCTGGAGAGATGATTCAGCAGTCAAGAGCACTGGCTGCTCTCAGAAGACCCAGGTTCAATTCCCAGCACCCACATGGCAGTTCACCCATCTGCAGCTCCAGTTCCGGTGGTTCTTAACCGTCTTCTGGCCGCTGCTGGTCCTACATGGCCGTGGTGTACAGGCATGCATGCAGGCAAACACAGATACACATGAAACATAAAAAAGTGGACTGTCCCCATGGCTGTCCCCTGGTCTGCACACAGAAGAACTCACATCTGCATGTATGTGCACATACTCACACCCCCACACACTACCTTCTGGGTGATCCACAAGTGGGCATGAGGAAACTCCCCTCATTTTCTTCCCCTCAGTATCAGCTCAGGGTCTCTGAAAGCAGTTTCCCGAAAATGGGGGTTTTAAGGAGTTTACAAAATGTCTTCTTCCCCAAATCCAAGCAACTCTGAGACATGAACAGTTCCACTTGCTGTCTTCTTTCTCCACACCCCTGCATGTCCCAGCTACGAACTGCAGCTGCAGGCCTGCCCTCCGGATTCAGCCCCAGCCTGCCCTGCCAGCCACACGGAGACGAAGTACTGGGGCCCTGGGCACACAGCCAGCCTGGCGGGGCTGCGGCCCCATACTGCCTACAGGGTGCAAGTGGTGGCCCACAACGAGGCGAGCGGCACGGCTTCTGGGTGGACCTGCTTCAGCACCGAGAAGGAAAGTGAGTACATGGGTATGCTCGGCACCGGAGACGCTGGGGGCTCACTGGGGAAGCCAGAGTGTCAAGTACCACCACCATGAGACCACGACTGGACGAAGATTCCACGGCATTTAAGAGTGTCGAGGTCGAGGGCAAGTGGGTAGTTCAGGCCAGCCTGGAACTTACTATGTCGGCTAGGCTGGGCTCAAGCTTGCAGCAATTCTCCTGCCTCTGTCCCCCAAATGCTGGGATTACAGGTGAGTGCCACCATGCCGGGCTAAGTCCACCTCTCTGAGATGCTTTCCTTCCCTTCCTTTACCTACGCACTCCCCAGAAGCAGTGAGATATGGCTTGTCGGGAAGAGCGAAAGAGCATTCATTCAGTGCAGAAATGGACATACAATGAACTATTAACCAGTTAATTCAATTTTTATGAGATAGCTTCTGTTCCAATTACATATATACATTTATACATATTGTTTAAAAATGAAAATTAGGGTTGGGGGGATAGCTCGGTCAATAAAGCTTATCACAAAAAGCATGGGGACCGCAGAGAGGTCACCAGAACCCATGTGGGAAAGCCTGGACGTAGAAGGACACACTTTTCATCCCAGCACTGAGGAGATGGCAGATTTCCGAGGCTTGCTGGCAGCTGCCAAGCCTACCTGACGAGCTCCAGGCCAGTGAAAGCCTTTGTCTCAAAAGAACAAGGAAACAGAATCTGAGAGAGACTACTTAAGTTGACTCTGATTTCTCTGCGTGCACACACACACACACACACACACACACACACACACACGTACACACAAACAAATGTGCAATTCTTCACATATGAACACAGACAAGTAAGAACTAGAAAACAATATTAGGGCTAAAATAGTTATCAGAAGTAGAAATATAATCTGTGGGGCCCAATAAGAAATGAAAATACAGAGGTTCAAAAACTCACGCGGAATTCCAGTTACTCAAGAACACAGAGTCAGGCTAGACCTAAAGCTCCTGCACGGAAGAGGCCTGTGTACCCCTTGGTCACATATACGTGCAGCCAATTCTACCTGTAACCCCATCACTTAGAGGAATCAGCTGTCAGTAGTTGACTTGATAAACTCCGTTCTTCTCCTCATGCAGTTTTTATTATATCTGAAATCATAGTATAACTAAAAAATTTTTACACTTGCTTTTTTTTTATATTTGACACGATTTGATTTGTATTTATTTCTGTCATCTGAAAGCTTTGTTACTTTGTTACTTTGAAACCTTCAGCAATTTCAAGATCTGTGGAGTGCGCTCTAGAATCCCAGGGGACAGTCACATAAAATATGATGTGAGCTCAAGCTGCTAGGCCCCAAGGTGACTGACCCTGACCTGGAGCAAGGCCTAAGCAAACCCCACATCCAGTAAATGGGGTGCCCTGAAGGCACCACCAAGCTCAACTCCCCTCCCCCCAGCATTCCTATTCCTGGGTCACTTAAAGTCCTGCTCTCCTGTTTAAGCCCTGCAAGCCTCTCCATGCTCCCTAGCCTTGCTCTGCACACACCCACAGCCAGGCCCAACCTCCTCTGCTAACTCTCTGCTTTGCCTTGGGTGGGAGAAGTCATGTCAGCAGGTGATCTCCATCTCAGCCTGCACCTGCCTTCAGCCTGAGCTTGAGGACCAGGCCACTGGTCTCCTCAGGGTCCACTTGGCTGCAAAGCCTCTTCTGTCCCCGATGCTCAAGCAGACAAGCTCTACTCCCTCTCCTGGTATCACAAAGCTTTTCCAAAGAGCAGTCTACTCAAGCTCTGTTTGTCGTTTCCCTCCCCCACACCCTTCTCCTGGCCCACCACTGGACAGAAACCTCTTCCTCAGCATGTCCCTGGCCTTCATACCAAGGACTGCAGGACACATGTTTTGCCCCAGGTCACCGACATTGACTGCTCAGGAGGGTTCAGTGCAATTCTGGTTTTCCTGACAAGCATCCCCTGGTCCCTTCCTGACCCTTGGGATAGTCTTCTTAGCTTTTCTTATCTCAGTTGTAAACCTGGCTCTGAGCCTTTCTGCTTCATTCACTTTCCTCCTCTTTCTCAGGTCCTTCCTTGCCCTCTTCCCTTCTCACCAGGGTTCATCCACTTCAAGACCACAGTCCAAATAAAGGCTGATTGGCAGACTCCCCGAAATATCATTTCTCATTTTCTCTAGACAACATTTAGGTTCCTGATGCCCAGATATCAGGACATGCTATGACAGCTCTCAGTGTCTCCTGACTAATTTTATAGTCTCCTTTCTGGTATACATTTGAAGCATTGCTGTTGAATGTTCCTGTTCACTGTCAATGTTGGCCAGAAAGCCAAGGCACTCCCAGGTGAGGGCACGAAATTAGAACCAATGCTTTTTAGTCATGAAGCAACAAAGTGAACAAAGATACCTACTCTCCCCTGCTTCTTCCTTTCCATCCTGTCATTCTTTCACAATGGAGAAATAACTAAATACTAGACCAACACTAAGGAGAGGGATCCCTTCAATCAATACTGGATCCATTGATATGAAAACATAAGAAATTATTCCAAGTGGATCTCTAAAAGCTCATTAAGTACACTGGAAGAACATACGGACCAAGGAGTGCAAACCAGAAGATAATTTTAAAAAGCGTGGGTAGCTGTATAGGGCTGTGAGCATATTCATGCTCGCCAAAGGCTCGGGGAACATAGTCAGCCTCCTCTGCCTGGACTGCCCTTCAGTGAAGAGCAGAACACTGCAGATGATCACCAGGCAGTCCTGCTAAGGGGAAATGTGCTTGGCCACTCCCATGGCGTCTGTGCTCCCACCATTGAGGAGTCCAAGTTACATCCCGGCAGCACCCGATGGGAAGGGATGGAGGCAGATGATCGCTACATAACCTATCAGTCTGCTGCAGAGGGAACGTGAGATGTGACAGATAACGTGAAACGCTAAGAATTCTAACACTTATTGCCCCATAAGTATAATTAAGTTTATAAGGCTTAATTTCTAGTAATGGCTAACTTGACCATCAAGCAGGAAACTTCTGACTAACTAACAACCGGATTTAGCCAGTTTCATGATACCTATAGGAGGCACCCATAGTAATTTAGTAAATGTATTCTGATTACAGCAGGCAGCGTGCTTTGGGGTTAGGCAGGTCTGGCTTCAGATCCTTGTGACTTCCTATCTCGATTTATAGGCGAGGTGCTTGACCTCTCAGAGCAATCAATTTCTGTTTGGGTTTTTGTTGTTTTGTGTTTTAAGATTCATGTGTGTCTGTGTCTGTGGTTGTGGGTGGGGGGAGGAGAGAGGTGAGTGCAGTACCCAATGGCGACCAGAAGAGGTCATCAGATCTCCTTGGAGCTGGAGGTGCTGGAAATGTAATTCTAGTCCTCTGCCAGAGCAGCCAGTGTTCTAAAGCTGCACAGCCATCCCTCCAGCCCCAGGACTTCTCCGGAGTGTTTTGAAGGTTTAAGTAAGGTCAGATATGCCATGTACCAAGGCACGGTGGCACTTCTTGTTTCCTCAGTCCCCTCTGAGGAACACGAACTGAGTCTCCATTACTTTCATCTCCTGCTCTTTCTCTTAGCAAAGACTCCAAACCCTAAAAGACATAAAACACGTTTATTTCCTTACATTTTGCAAGTTCCATCTTTTTTTTTTCTACTGCTAAGAATACAGGGTGATTTATTGGATCAATATGGCAGAAGAGAGCCTCAGAAAAATATAACTTTGTATTGGCCTGTGATACGAGGCAGGCCAGGGCTGGAAACACAGCCATTGAGAAGGTTTGATGGCTCGTGGTCTTTGTGACAAGTTGCTGTTAGGGTTCTCTCTGAAAGTCTCCTACTGTGAAAGCTAAGTACACATGTATCATCGGGTCTAAACTATATGTTACAGAACGTAATTATCCCTTGTTATAATGTCTGACACGAATGATACAGCCAGTGTAGTCACATCCTTCCTGTATTAACAGACAACTGGGAATGTACATGGGTCCTAATGCTTTATAAATATCTTGGTTATTTTAGAGAAAATGAGGTCTCTTGAAGTAGATCGTTTTCCCTCCTGCAAGGTGATATGTTAATTACTCCATTTGTCCCCTCAACAGCATATTTACACTGAAGATGATCTACAGCCAACGCTTTCTGGTTTGTTTTAGCAAGGAGCATAAAAACGAGAAGAGAACCTGCCTGTAAAACTTGCACAAAGTTGCTTCTAGATCTGATATAACCTAGTTGAACCTGATTATATACTAATGTAATGTACTCTGCTATTGATGGATTAGGCAGGGCAATGAATTATGAAACCTGGATCACTGTTTTCAAGGCCTTTTAACTATCTTAGCGAACAAACTAATGCTTTAAGAAAAAGCTTTATAAAGAAATGGGTGCCAAAAGGACCTAAGTTCTTTTGCTATACACACACACACACACACACACACACACACACACACACACACACCATCTAGTCCTTGGGGCTTCATAGCAGTAAATATTGATTTGATATGAAAAATAGCTATGTACTGTATTTAATAGTGTTAAGGACACTTTATCCATTAGAAGAGGGAAAATGCAGCAAAGTATGAGCCCCAGGTTATGTTGCTAAGCAAACCCATTGTGCATTAATAGTTTTATTTATAAAACAGCACTCTCCATTGATTTTGGGCAGTGCAAAGCCGCTGAGCCCGCACTTCACGTGTATTCCCGTTGGCTGTCTTCTTGCCTCCCACCCCAGTTTGTTATTTTTGAATGGGTTTCTAACAACTCCCAGGGTTGTTTCTGTTTGGTCGGGTGGCTGGCTGATTTCACATACAGCGGTTTACACACTTCTAAAAGCACCCTGTGCTGTGCATACGTCCCAGACGGTCCCGTTTCTAGGAGCTGTGCTTTCCTCCTCACAGTGCCTCAGTACCAAGCCCTGTTTTCAGTGGACAGCAACACATCCACAGTGTGTGTCGACTGGAGCCGCTCTTTCCTCCTGAATGGCCAGCTGAAGGAATACGTGGTCACCGACGGAGGACAGCAGCTGTACAGTGGCCTGGACAGCACCCTCTGCCTACCAAGGACGGCAGACAAAAGTTAGTAACTGTGTAAGGCGCTCTGGTCCCTAGCTTTATGTAATGTCAAACCGGAGGGGTGTCCTGAGGAGGCTTGCCGTCAACATTCCTTGGCTTGTGTGGGTACCGTTTGTAGAAATCTTGGAGCTCAGATTAGATGTGTGTGCTCTTCCTGTTTGTTGCTATGTATACAGCTAGGGACAGTGCTTCTGGAGGTGAGCAGAAAGGCTGCAGGAAGGAAGGAGACCAAGGGCAGCTTCAGTTCACAAGACAGATAGCAATAGGCCTAACCAGAGGGCACACTGAAAACCTCAGGGGTCTCCTCGCTGGGTCCCACCTGCAACGGGGCCATGACCACTGTGCTGGTGACTTTCCACCACCGACTTAGCAAGAACTGAGTCACCTGAGAAGAGAGACCCTCAATGCAAGACCCACCTCTGTCAGATGGGCCTGTGGGCATGTCGGGGAGGCGTTTTCTTGGTTGCTTGATTTTCTCATCCTAGGCAGGCCGCCTGGGCTGTACCTGAAAGCTTGCCCAGCAAGCCAGAGGGAACAAGCCTGCAAACATCCGCCAAAGCTTCTACCTCAGTTCTTGCCCCGCCTTTCCTCGATATGGGCTGTAACTTACAAGTGTGAGCAGATAAGCCCAGGTACAGAACCCTTTGAAAAGTACTTTGTATTTTATAGCAAATCAACCCAGCAGTGTTCAGGTCCTCGAAAGGCCTGCTTGTTTAAGCTGAAGGATGACTCCCATATTGCATATAAAAACCAAGTTCCAGCCTGAATGAACCACACGCGCTGTCACAGCTCCTGGTCACCCGGGCAGCGTGCAATAGAGGGAAGATGGCCTGACAGTTGGCGGATCTGGGTTCTACCTGAGTGGGCCTCAGACCATCTGTGTGACCTTGTAAGAGGCACAGGGTCCTGGCAATTGAAACAGGAATTTGGATCATGTGACTCCTGCCTTCCCTTCTGAGCTCTCCAGTCAAGGAAGGAACTCCTGAAGGTCTTAAAGGAAAAGCTGAAGGCAGATGCAGAGCAAGGCCCGCTCTGGGGTAGCCTGACTCCATTCGCTTTGCTGCTGCAGGTAGAAGCCTGATACTCCTGCCCACCCTTATGGATATGCTGCCATTACACAACAGCTCTTTTGACTTTTTAGTCGATTGACCTTTTAATTAGAAGTCTGAATATTAGATGTCAGCCAGCTTTTCGTGGCTATCACAAATGCCTAAGACAATCAACCATGTAAAGAGAAAAGCTTTATTCTGGTCCAGAAATGGTGCTCATCTGTGGTCTGCTGGCACAGCTCTGGGCCTCTTCAGGGCCACTCCCTCCCAGCAGCGTTGCTTCCGGAAGCAAACACTACTGTGCTGTGGCAAGCCTTCGCAGAACCGTTAGCACCTAAATTTTTGTGCCATGGTAAAAAAAAAAAAAAAAAAAAAAAAAAAAAAGGGAGTTAAGGGGAGAGAGGGTTTATGTTAGCTCAAGATTCCAGGTTACAGTCCATCCCTGAGAGAAGTCAGGGCAGCAGAGACCTGAAATAGCTGCTCCCATTTCAGCCACAGTCAAGAGCAGAGAGAAGGAATGTGTGCATGGGTGCCACTCAGCAGGCTGCCCTCCTCTCCTCTCGTGAGGTCCAGGAGCCCCAAACCAGGAAGTGGAAATGGCTGGGTCTTCTCGCGTCTTTAACCCAGTCCTGACAATCCCTCAGAATTAGAACTGGCCACCTTGTGTAACGTTAACTCTCAGTTCGCCCTGGAGTGTTGACTTCATTGCTCTTTCAAGATGCTGCTGCCGTGAGCTGGTGTTAAACAGCTGAGATTTACCAGTTCTTTCTTTTGTCTAGCTTTCTTCTTCCAGGTCACCTGCACAACAGACATTGGGAGTGTGAAGACCCCATTGGTCCAGTATGACGCCTCTACTGGATTTGGTAACATTTCTCTTGTCTTGCATTTAGTGTAGCAGCTACTCACTTTCCTGAAAAGAGAGGCACTGTGCTAACACATTAGTGACAGACTTGATGGAAGAAACTGTGGTGTGTCATGAAGGAAAAAAGGAAGGGAGTAAGGTAAGAAGGAAGGAAGGAATAGAGGAAGGGAGGAAGGAAACTACAGGTCCTGATGAAACTTATATTAGACAAGGACTGAGGGTTACTTTCAAAAGTCAGTGTGGCAGACATCAGAGAGACCTGATTAAACTTCTCTTCTGAACAAATATTTTATTTAAATAATTTTATGAATAAATCATTTCATATGCAGAAAGGTAGCAGAGAGAGAGAATCCAGGGATGATGAGAAGATGGGAGACAGTAGGTGACCAGTTTAATTCCTGAGGGGCCAAATGACATTCTGGAGTCAGAGTGTAAAAATGTTGAAGTGGGGACATTTCTGTCTGTATCCTTCACAGATTATGATGCTAGGGAGATGGCTCAGTGAGAAAAGTACTCGCCACACATTCCTAAGGACCCAAGTCTGAATCCCCAGAACCGCTTAGAGCAGGCATGGTAGGCACAGTCTGTAATTCGTGTTTCTACGGCAAAATGAGAAGTGGGGGCAAGAGACTCCCAGAGCCTCACAGGCCAGCTAGCCCAGCACACCAGCAGCAAACAGCAAGAAACACTGTCTCAAGTAAGGTTGAAGGCAAGATCTGACACTCACGGTTGTCCTGACCTGTGCAAGTTTTCCCCAGCCTGCATGGGCATGTATGTGTACACACACACACACACACACACACACACACACACACACACACACACA